GGATTGTATGGTTGTTGGTTGGTTGTTAGTGGTCCCGGGCGCGTCAATTACTGGGGTCATTAGTCATTTAAAAGTAGTGTATGTATTTTCCTCGGGAGGTGGCGATGATCTTCCCCCGCTGAATCGTGATATACCGCCGGCGTCGACATACCGTCGATTACCGGGGTTTTCCCCTAACTAGGTATCTTCCACCAGTGATGCACCGCCCCGGCCGGGACAAGATCTAAGCTTCCGACCGGTCTCTCGCCATGTGTGGTAGTGTAGTGAATGTTAGTGTTAGTGTGTGTAAGTGGTGAGATTAGGCTAAGGAATGGAAAGGAAACATCGCGCACGGTCCGTGGCCCGTTTGTTACGGTACTGCTCCGGCAATCGCCTGGTACTGATCGAAGAAACCACGGAAAACTACCGATCAAAGCAGCCGGCCAGAATTTTACTCAAGACAGCGACTGAATTCGACCTAGCTGACAAGCTGGTGTCGAAAACCTTGTCACTGTCGCTACTCGAACCTAGGACATCCCGGTCAGAAGTACTGCAGTGACCGTTGATGCACTGAACTACCTCTACCGGTCCGTTGTTTGGAGAGACCTCGAGCGGAATACCCTAGCCAGTCGATGTGTAGGTCGGCGCCGGTTCTCACCATCCAGCGGGTGAGGAACACCGCCATCCTCCTAGATACAACATTCGGTACACTAACGAGACTGTTAACCACAGAAGTTGACGTGCGCGGAAACCATCAGCCAGGCATCGCGTGTCCTAGTTTTCTCTTGCGGCGTGTGCAGGGCGAGAAGGCGGCCGAGCCGTCCACGGAGGCTTCTGCGACAGCGGTGGAGGCGGCCTCCTCAGCGGTGGTGAGTGGCCAAGCAAGAACTATTGCTTTATTTCTAATTCTTTAATTCTTTATTTCTACGACGGCAAGAAATTAAACTATGCGAAAATAGGTATCTCGATATGGTTTGTTGTGAACAGAAACTAAAGTACTTAACGAAACAAATATCCAAAGCGCACCAAAGAAATCTATGGACTAGTTCCTTTCGGTAATGAATCGAAACGGTCCTCCAAGATCTGTTCTTTCGATAACGAATTTGCTTTCGCGCTGACTTTCGTTTCGTTAGTTGGAACGTAACTAAATTTTCGAGGTAATAATTTTGTTACAGCGGCGCAGAAACGAAATGTTTTCTTTCGTTTCGTTTCTGTACTTATTTTTTTATGTATGTATGATAGGTATGGCGTTTTAACCTTCAGTACATTCGTACATTCGTTGCAGGCTATCAGCCAGTGAAACGTTTTGCAAGATAATGAATTCGTAAATTGCTAATGGATTTGATTAGATTCCTTCTTTTAATACGTAAAGTTAAAACTATAAGAATTTATTTAATAAACCCCAGGAAAACTCTTGATTTGTTGGGCGGACTCATTGTGTGCAGTTCACTAGCACTAAAAGCTTCGAAAACGGTTTTCTAAAATCAGTATGAATGAACATTTTCTTTTCGTTCTTGATGCGTAATATTTTTTAAAGATAACATATTGACAGAATCTCCTTGATCTACAAATATTTGAAGAGAACCTCTTGCAGAGCCTAGAATTGCAACCACCACAATAATTTGTTTCTTCATTCACTTTACTACAGTAACCCTCTCAACATTCTAAGAAGTAATAACCACATTTCTAAATTTACATTTGTTTCGCATTAAAAAATATTTCTTTGATTTCAGATAATAATGTTTCAAAATAAGATGATATTTGTGTATTTTCTTACAAATGCAGAATGATTTTCCCTATATTAAATGTATAAGAAAGAGGTCACATAATTAAAACGTAAACGATTAAATACTAACTTAGATAAGGTTCACAATAGAGACCACATATTTACACGCATTCATTTCAGATAACAGTGTCTCAAAATCAGATGGAATTTGTGTATTTTCTTACAAAAGTGGAATGATTTTCCGATATTGAAAGCATAAGAAAGAGGTCACATCACCAAAACTTCAACGATTAAATACAACCTTAGGTAAGATATTAAATACTATTGTTGGCAATGACAACGTCGATAATTATTTCATGAAAAATGCCAACGATAACGCACTACAACACCTATAACTTAGGTAAGGTTCACAATAGAAAGTACGTATTTACACGCAGACTCTCAGTCGGCGCGCGTGTCGCTGTGGGACATATTAAGGAGTTGGGCGCAATGCGTGTGAGCAGAAGCTGAGCGTCGGGGTGCGCCCCAGCCAGCAGCAGCTGGTGCGCGGGCCCCGCGCCTCGCGCATGGGCAGCATCTTGGGCGGGCGGCGAGTCAGCGGGGGCCCCGAGGGCGCCCTCAAGGTACCTACCCACCCCACTTACTTTATTTACTTATTTATTTATTTATTTATTTATTTATTTATTTATTTATTTATTTATTTATTTATTTATTTATTTAAAGCGGTTGAGGGGATTATTAACAAATGCCTTTTAACCTAGGGGGTCAACGACAGAGTTTTTCGTGTTTTCTTTCATCTGCTTTCGTTTCGTCTTATTTTAGTATCTGCCGATGCAATTAGAAACTTCGTAGAAACATGGTGAATATTGAACTTGTTCTTGAAAGCGAGGATGTGGCCTTCTGTGTTCCCGCCAAAAGGACAGTAAGTCCGGAAAATATTCAAAACGTGAAAGCAAATTAGCCTGTCAATAATTACACACATTTGGCTTCCGTAACAATTCGGAAATAAGTTTATCGCCCATCATCAGGCTACACTAAAACCTGTAATATACACTGAACCCATTAAAATGTATATTGAACAATTATTTGGTCATAATATGTAAACGTATAATAACACGCACCCTTAGACAACCATCATGCACATGAACACTTAATCATTTCTAACCTTAACTGAAGACATGTCTATCACTCCATTGTACCACAGCGCAAGTAAGTAAATTCTATGTAACACAAATAGCATCACAAATTTGAAACAAAGCAATCACTCAACACATTATGATGCAAACCCTCAGAGACTTGGACTCCCTTAGGATTAGTCCCTGTCTCTGAGAGTGTGCAACACACTGTTATAGCTCGTAATAAAAACATTAAATTTGGTCATCGAATTAAGTGTGAATTTCATTAGTCTTTACATACAACATTTATAAAATAATTCGCCTCTTTTTTTGTGGTCCTACAGCTAATGTAGACTTCTGTAAAGTAAAGCAGCCTAATACTATGATAGATTAATTCGTCTCAGACCCCAAAAGTCACAAGTTGTATGGTTCAGTCGCGATTTCAGTCGAAAGGAAAGTTTCGATCAGCAGCAGATTACTAAATAGACTCATATTTGTAATGGTATTCCTGCATTTGTATAGGTTTTTGAATGTTACAATTAGGGGAAACTATCATATATTATTTGGACTTTTTTAAAAATTCCCTTCCTTAGTGGTTCCCACAATGCAGCTTGTGGCTATTGAGGGTTTGTGTTGAACAGGTTATACCATTGAGACTCCCGCTTTGGCAGCCTCGTACTTTCCTTTAATCTAAATGAAATTTGATAAAATTTGACCATCTTTATAACTGCAGACGATTGTAATGTCAAATTGTTCAGTGCTAGGGCTGTATTCGAAAAACTCGCAGATGTTTTCACTTTGGTTCGTTGGTTGCGTTGTTGAGTGCTATTAGCAAACTATTATTTCTGGAACGATTCAAAAAGATTTAAGAACAAGTTGGAAAGTTTAAGGAAAGTTATTAGAGACGATGCATGTTTCTGAGACCTTTGCTTTTTCTTCATTAGTAGTAGCTCCTGATTTTAAATTTAACATTAGTTCTTTATCATTAATTATTAATGTTATGTGAAGTTAAACATTGTGAAGAACAGTTGGGTTGTAATTGAAATACAAATTTGTTAAATAAAAAATATAGTATATGAAGTTCTAAATATTTTTAACGTTTCCTGCTTAAGTGTTTAAAGTACTTTAATTGGCGGGTTACGAGTTATTTGCCATATTCTTCGTATTATGTACTTATAAGTAATTAAGTTCAGGTTAAACTTTTAAGATGCTTGGTTTATTAATATCACAGACACACAAAATATAAAACATCAGACCTAAAAACTTGACACTTGTTTCTCTATGTATGTCGACGCACTGAATCCGAATCCGAAGCCAGAATTGCGCCTTCAATTTTCTGTAAAATAGCGCATATACACTGTAAATTTTACAATTTAGAATTTCAAGGTAGTTTTTCGCGATTTAAAAAAAACTGGAAGGTGATGGCGCAATTCTTGCTTCAGATTCGCGCGTAAACATATTCCATAGAGAACCATGTGTCAAGTCTTTAGGTCAGACAACTTTTTTAAATTTTGTGTCCCTGTTGTTTAATTAAGAATATGTTGCTTAGACGTAAAACGTTGAATAGCTGTAAATGTTATTTTCAAAATTTGTAACTGCTAACCCTACATTCTCGAATGTGTACAGTTTATCTGGACATGAGTATACATGTATTATGTTCGTTTGAAAATGCCCGTTGTTTTCTTTTTCACTTTTACATTTTACATCATGAAGATAATTTCAACAATAATTTTTTCTACATGTCATAGTAGCTAGTGTCATCTAGTAAGCATTTCAGTTATAATGTCCATTATAGTGAGACTTTTTGTTTACTAAAATAAAATTTAATCTTAAATGTACGAAGCAAAATAACTAAACGACAATGAATTTATGAAATATTATGACCTTGTGTACATTCTTATTATTAACTGAATTGACATAGATACAAATTGACTTAATACGAGTATAAACATGTTTTTATTATACTATAATGGTTTTGAAGTCCACTTCCACAATTTTACGAATCTGTAAAAAACAAGGCAAGTGAGCGCCTTGCTTCAAAAAATGAATATAGTTATTATAAAAATGACTATTTCAATTATTGAAATTATCTTAAATTAATAATTAACTGTTACTATTGTTTGATACATGTGTTCATTATCTCAATTATTCTACGTTGTAATACTTCGCTTTTCATATAGGGCCCGAGATATGCAAATACTTACCGCATGGATTCGAAACACCCATTCAAATCGTGGCAGGTGTATAAAATACTTCGGGACACTCTGGAAAATGAGGCTGGCTTCAAGAAAACGTATGACCCCATCGCAGCAGCTAAACGAACTCTGAACTTGGCCAAGGACATTCGCTTGGCAATAAAGGCACTGAACTATGATCGGTGAGCACACAGATGTTTGATTAGACAATGCACAGTACTGTGGTTAAAAATCCATTGCTCAGTGAGACTGAAACATAATCAATTGTTACATATTTTCTCTAATTAAAACATTTTGAATATTTCCAAAGTGATTTAATTCGAAGACTGAAACTGGATTTCTTATGGTTTAAATATTTGTAGAATGTGCAATTGAATGTAACGTGTCAACTTTCTCATTAAATAATTTTTGCAATAATATTTCGCTACTATTTTTCACGTGAATGGCATCTTTCGTGTAACTGTGATAAGTTTCTAATAAAGTTGTTAGAACACAATTTTATTCTAATATTTCATGACTCTCAGTCAACAATAATTAGTTTCATAACACTTATTATTAGTACTTACAATTAGTACAAAAACCTGGGACATCCCAAGGTATGACAGTGTCACCGTGAAAAATGTAGCGTTAAATATTGTTTAAGGTTAAGGGCAGCGTAGAACAAACACTGCCAGAATATAAAGCGAAGTTATACAGGATGCGCCAGAGAAACTTACTTATTTGAAAAAATTCCCGCGCGGAGTTGGGCGGTTAGAGGGGCGAGAGG